CCCAATAAGCCTTTACCTCACCCTCCCTGCCCTGCTCACTTGTCCACTTTCTCTACAGTGAGGATATTAAGACTCCCTGAGCCAGAACCCCTCAGGGGATGTCCGACTGCTGGTTTAGGCCCGATCCCACAGGACATCCCTCCCGCAATCCAGGACCACTGGCTCCTAACTGCTCACCTGCCTGCCTGATCACCCCTGACCCCTCTGCCTGCCTGATAGCCCCTAACCACCTCTGCCTCGGCCCCCACCACCGCTTCATTGGGAAGGACGTCCGGAATGACGTCTGGAAGGTCGTTTGGCTGTCCAGTCTAATTAGCATATTATGCTATATATATATATATATATGTATATATATATATACACACACACACACACACACACACATATATATACATATATATGTGTACGTGTGTGTGTGTGTGTGTGTGTGTGTGTAAAATCCTTCCTGTGACTCTTGTCTTACACAGTAAACCCAGTGTTCTCACCACAGCTGATCTGGCCTGTGTGTCCTGTCTTCTTCCTGCTCCCTTCAGCCCATTTTCTGAACACATCGCCTCCTCTCTCCCTTTTGCTCACTCTGTTCCAACCACGCTGGCCTCCTTGCATGTGCTGCCTCAGGGCCTTTGCACTTGCTGTTCCCTCTGCTTGGGACACTCTTCCTCTAAACTTCCCATGGTTCATTTTCTCCCTCCCTTAGTTTCAGTTCAGCGTCACCTCCTCCAGAGAGGCCTCCCGACCACCCATAGAACACCGTGGCCTCTGCCAGGCTTCCCGCCCCCTCACTCTGCTTTGCCTCCACGGCCCTCTTACTTCCTGTCATACTGGATACGGACTTGCTTCTGCACTGCCCCTCCTCCTCAGGACAACGTGCGCTCCCTGAGGGCAGGGATCTGTCCTGCTCACTGCTGTATCCCCTGGCACTACCACAGTGCCGGCATATGGCAGGTGCCTCAGAAACACTCGTTAAATACACAAATATGCAAACGCTCTCTGCATCCTTCCCTCTCTGAGCCCCGGATCCCCATGTCCAAAGGCCTCCTGATTGCCTTTCCTGGCGGACCGATGGCTCACACTCACTTGAGTCAGTTGATGGTGGTCCCCCAAGAAGATATGCCCAGGAGCCCTGGCCGGTGTGGCTCAGTGGATAGAGCGTCGGCCTGTGGACTTAAGGGTCCCGGGTTCGATGCTGGTCAGGGGCAAGTACCTCGGTTTTAGGCTTCTCCCCAGCCTGGGCCCTGGTCAGGGCTCGCGCAGGAGGCAACCAATCGATGTGTTTCTCTCACATCGGTATTTCTCTCTGTCTTTCCCTCTCTCTTCCACTCTCTAAAAATCAATGGAGAAATAGCCTCGGGTGAAGATTAAAAAAAAAAAAAAAAGACATGTCCAGGTGAACATGATTTTATTTGGAAAAGAAGTTTTGCAGATGCCATGAAGTTAAGTATGTTGAGATGAGATCATGCTAGATTACCCTGGTGGGCCCTAGGTCCAAGGACAGTGTCCCTGTTGGAGACAGAAGAGGAGATGCATAGAGGAAATGGCCAGAGACGGGAGCGGTGCACCACGAGCCCAGGAACATGGGAGTCACCAGCAGCTGGAAGAAGCCTTGGAGGGAGCACGGCCCTGCCCACACCTTGATTTCAGACTCCGGCCTCCAGGCCTGGAGGGAATCCATTTCTTCTGTCCTAAGCCACCCAGTGTGTGGTCGTTTGTTACAGCAGCCACAGGAAACTGATACAGTTCCCGTGCCCTAAGGACCTCAGCATATTCCTCCACCTGCTCCTTCCCGGGGCCCATCCGGGTGAGCTCACCTCCCACCCCATCACCTGGCTGCAGACCCGAGCCTCAGCCTGGACGCCTCCCCCGCCGCCGTGACCCGCCACAAGTGGGCAGTCTCAAAGCCCTGTTGCTTTAAGCCACAAAGTTTGTGGGCATTTGTACAGCAGCCATAAGAAACCAATACACTGTCACAGTGATCGTCTCTGTAAGGACTCCCCCTCCCAGCCTCCGTTCCCCTGTGTCATGATCATCAGAGCTAGCACTCCTTGTCCCCCCTCTGCAGACACCTCCAGTGTCTCCGACAGGCCGTGCACACAGCAGGCGCCTAATGTCTGCCGAGTGAATGCGTGCTCACTATCCTAAACTCTCCCATGAGTGACTCATTCAATTCCCAAGCGCACCCTGTGAGATAGAAACTATTATCGATCCATTTTCCAGATGAAGAAACTGAGGCAGGCAGGAGAGGTGCAGTGACTTACCCAAAGGTCTCCCAGCAGGTATGTGGTGGAGCTGGGAGACTGAGGGAGGCCGAGTCACATTCATAAGAGCTGCCAGGACGACTGGTATAGTTTTCAGCTTGCCAAGGGCGCCCGTCACAGATGCAGCCAGCCGCCATCACTGCTCTCAGCGGGCACGGGCTTGGGGGGGGGGGGGGGGGAGCAGAGCACTGCCACCAGAGGGCACCAGACACACAGGGGTGTTTTCTCATCACAAGGGCCAGAAGGCCACTTGCTGGCATTTGGTGGAGGGGCCGACAGCCTGGCCATGCCCGGGACAGACTCCCACATGAAGAATTGTCCTCCCCGGGGCCAGCAGTGCCACTGCGGGAACCACTGAACACTGGGCCCAGCGCCTGCCCTTGAAACAACCATCCAAACTAGTGGTTAAAATAAAACAAGGATTCTGCAGCCGCCTGCCTGGGCTCAAAAGTAGCCAGAAGTTATTGATCAATTAAATGTAAGACAACTCATCAAAAAAAAAAAAAAAAAAAGTAGCCAGAAGAGCCCAGCCGGCGTGGCTCAGTGGTTGAGCATCGACCTATGAACCAGGAGGTCATGGTTCGATTCCCAGTCAGGGCACAGGCCCAGGTTGTGGACTCCATCCCCAGTGTGGCGTGTGCAGAAGACAGCTGATCAATGATTCTCATCATTGATGTTTCTGTCTTTCTCTCCCTTCCTCTCTCTGAAATCAATAAACACATATTTTTTTTAAAAATAATGCTTTAAAAAAAAAAACAGCCCTACCCGGTTTGGCTCAGTGGATAGAGCATTGGCCTGTGGACGAAGGGTCCAGGGATCGATTCCGGTCAAGGGCACGTACCTCGGTTGCAGGCTCCTCCCCAGCCCGGGCCCTGATCAGGGTGCCTGATCAGGCAGCCCATCAATGTTTCTTTCACATCGATGTTTCTGTCTTTCCCCCTCTCTTCTACTCTCTCTGCAAATCAATGAAAAAAAAAACTAGCTCAGAACAAACCTGGCTCAGCCACCGACCAGCTCTGTGACCTCAGGCGAGTCTTTGAACCTTCCTGAGCGCGTCTGAAAAATGAGGGAGCATCTCTCCCTCGTAGCTGAGGAGTAAAGTACCACGTGTCAACGCCTAGAGCGACGCCTGGGAGGTACTCAGTGCTGTAAGTGTTCGCTGTGAATATTAGTATCTGAGTAGCACGTGCCCGGGTCTAAACCTGTCACCCCTTCCAGTCCGGGGTCCCTGTGGCAGGGGCAGTGTGAACGTGCCTCTCAGCACAAGGAGCGTTTGCTGACCGACTAACCAGGGAGTCCCGAGTGCCCTGGCTCCCAGGGAAGACAGACACGGGGCCAGGAGGGGACCACAGGTTTATTGGGGGCTCCACACACGCACTCACGGTGTCACACGACAACGGCACGGTTACTCAATACACACGAGGTGGCCTCCGCCCGCAGCTGGGGCCCAGAGGCAGTGGGGTGCAGTCTCCTCCCTTGCGGCCCAGACCCAGCTGGGTGCGTCCTCCTGGGCAGCCGAGGGAGGGGCTCCGGGGCGGGCCCCGGGCCTGGAACGGGGAAGCGAGCAGGCAAGTCCATGGGGGGCCGGGGCGCAGGGGCCGCCGCTCACTCCAGGGACTGGAGCATCAGCAGCTGTTTCAGCACCTTCGTCTGGCTGGTCTCGCGGATCTCGCCGGCCAGGAACATCTCGTCCACGACCGTGTAAACCTGAGTGGAGGGAGGTGATGAGAGAGCCGGCGTGAGGGAAGGGGCCCGGATGCTGGTGCCGACCTGGGAGCTGGGGGCTCCGAGGCCTGAGAGCTGAGAAATGGGCACCAGCAGAGGCATGGAGGTGCCAACAGGGGTTACGGCCCACCCCCTCCCCTGCCTGTGGCCCCCACGGCCGCGACGTCACCAGGAGCCCACCTTGTAAAAATTGAACACCAGGTCCAGTTCACAGACGTTGTGGAAATATTCGTTTAGGACCTGGGAGAGGGAGAGAGACGGTGAGAGATGGGCAGGGAGAGAGACACACAGAGACAGGAACAGAGGTCATCAGACAGAGATGGCAAAAGAGACCGAGTGGGAGGGAGAGGGAGACAGAGAGGAAGAGGAAGAGAAACAAGAGCGAAGATCAGATGATGACAGAATGACATGGCAAAACGACAGACAGACTGAGGGAGAGGGAGAAAGGAATGGGGAAAGTGACGTGTGGGCACGGAGACAGACGGCTGCATAAAGGCGACAGTGGGCTGCAGCAGAAACAAGGACCAAAGAAAAGGGGAAAAGGCCATGGCTGGTTTGGCTCAGTGGATAGAGCGTTGGCCTGTGGACTGAAGGGTCCCGGGTTTGATTCCCGTCAGGGGCACATGCTCGGGATATAGGCTTGGTCCCCAGTGGGGGGCGTGCAGGAGGCAGCTGGTCGATGGTTCTGTCTCATCATTGATGTTTCTATCTCTCTCTCCCCTCCTCTCTGAAATCAATAAAAATATGTTACAAAAAAGGAGAGAACACAAAAAGCAGGGAGGTGGGTAGAGAAAGAGGCGGCTGTGGTAGAGGAGGGTCTGCGCAGCGGGACCAGGGACGGTCCCCGTACTGGAGGCCACCGGGGGCCCAGCCCGCCCCCAGGCGCTCACCTCCACGAAGTTGTGGATGGCCTCCAGGTAGGCCAGGTTGTTGTCGTTGACGTCCACGCAGATGCAGAAGTAGAGGCCGGCGTAGCGTCGGTAAATGATCTTGAAGTTCCGGAACTGCGGGCAGAGAGACGGTCAGGGACAGGGTACCCCAGAACCCAACGTGCTGGGCAGAATGGGCCAGAACATCTCCTCCTTTCTCTCACGCCCCCTGAGGCCCTGCTCTGTGCCTGGCCCTGTGCTGGGGACACCGTGATGTCGGACATGGGCCTGGCCCTCCCCTCCTGGCTCCCAGTGCAGTGCTGAGAGATCCATCCTCAGACATCCCCAGAGAGGGCAGGGCTGGGCTGCAGGAGCTGAGAGGGGGCAGCTAACCCAGCCTTGGCGCCCAGAGGGCTTCCTGGAGGAGGGGGCGCCAGACCTGAGGTCTGAAGGATGAGCAGGAGTGAATGGGCAGGAGTGTTCCAGGCAGAGGGAACAGCCTGTAGAAAGGCCCAGAGCCCAGCAGGAGCCAGGCAGGTCCCACAGCACCCTCCCCACCTTTCCGTGGCTCCCCAATGCCTCTGGAGAGGCAGAGTCCTTCGCCTGGACGACTCATTCATTCATCCACAGACCCTGGCTGAGCACCGACGCGGGGCAGGCTCTGCCGGGCAGCAGTCACCACTTGTAACCAAGCCTTGCTCCTACCTGAACTGTCACGGAAAGATTACTCCAGCAGCACACACAACCAGGCGTAAGTGCGCACGGACGGGGACACAGGCGCTAATTGTATGTGTAAGATGGAGAAACAGGCAGGTACAGACACAGAGATGCGTCCTGGGTTGCAAAGCACAAAGCCACCAGCCAACAGCTGAAACCCCAATCCCAGGCCTGGCAGGCGTCTGGCGCCACCTGGCGGCAGCTTCGAAGGCCAACGTTAGCCCTGGGTGTTTATTCTTCCCCAGCTCATCCTTTGGTTAGTTTCTGACCTCATTACAGTGCTGCCCGCACATAACCCACCGAATAACAAGCATGTGTCAGGGTGCGTACTCCACTTTTCTTTCTTTAAAAAATTTTAATTGATTTTTAGAGAGAGAGGAAGGGAGAGGGAGAGACAAAAGTATGGACGTGAGCCCTAACCGGTGTGGCTCAGTGGATGGAGCATAGGCCTGCGGACTGAAGGGTCCCAGGTTCGATTCCAGTCAAGGGCATGTACCTTGGTTGCGGGCACATCCCCAGTAGGGGGTGTGCAGGAGGCAGCTGATGGATGTTTCTCTCTCATCGATGTTTCTAACTCTCTACCCCTCTCCCTTCCTCTCTGTAAAAAATCAATAAAAACATTTTTAAAAAGCATGGACGTGAGAGAGAAACACACGCCCCACCCGGACTGAGCCTGCCACTGGAAACGAGCCCTGACCGGGCGTCAAACGGGACCTTTCGGGGCCTGGGAAGACGCCCAACCCACTGAGCCACAGCGGCCAGGGCCACTTTTCCTTTAACTGACACAGATTGTGACTTTAAAAAACGGCTGGAGACCCCTGCTCTGGAGAGAGGGCTCCAGCCTCCCGGGCAGGAAGCTCTGCCTGTCAAGCTGGCGGCCCGGGCAGAGCCCGACGCTGAGCAGCACTCTCTGAGCCTCCCTTCCCGGCTACCCCCTCCCCCTCCTTCCTGTGCCCGTGAACCCATTGCCAGGCTTCGCCGAGGTCGGCCCGGACCCAGGTCCTCTGCTACACACTCGGCTCGGTCTCCTCCTGCAGGCTGAGGGCGTCCCTCTCTGAACGCCTTCGG